CTGTCTTTTTTAAATTTATTGATTAAGGTGTTACATATGTGTCCTTATTCCCCCATTACCCCTCCTATCCCCCCCACTCATGCTCTCACAACCCTGTTGTCTGTGTCCATTGGTTAGGCTTATATGCATGCATAAAAGTCCTTTGGTTGATCTCTTCCCCTTACCCCCATCCTCCCCTACCTTCCCTCTGAGGTTTGATGCTCTGATCGATGTGTCTCTGTCTCTGGATCTGTTTATGTTTTTCATTATATCCTGGTATGTCTTCTTATAAGGGTACTGATCCCACTGATCCCATCATGAGACCCCTGCACTCCTGAACTCATTTCAACCTGATTATTAGGGGACACAAAGATTTAAGCCATAGCACACCCATTCCCTGGACTTTCTCATATTTTTATCCTCTGAGAAAGAGAGAGAGATCTACTTTAAAACTTCTCAGAATAAGCAGACCACTTCCAGTGTTGCCATGGTGGCTAAGGCTACCACTTACCCAATCCAGCTGCTGCTCTAATAAAATCAAAGAAGAAGGAAGGATTACTAAATTAGACCAGATTTTGCTGAATGGAAATAATATAACAATGCTGATTCCTGGAGAAAAAGAATACAAAAATGAATGGATTCCCTTAATTTATGCTAGTTTCTGTTTTGTCTTCTAATGACAACAAAATATAAATTCATTTTTTTTAAACCTTTCAAGCCCAGCTGCGGTGGCTCAGTGATTAAGCATCCACCCATGAGTCAAGAGGTTGCCTGTCGATTACCGGTCAGGGCACATGCCAGGCTTGTGGACTGAATCCCCAGTAGCTGACGTGCAGGAGGCAGCTGATTGATGATGTTTCTCTCTCATCCATGTTTCTATTCCTCTATCCCTCTCCCTTCCGCTCTCTGGAAAAAAACAATAACACGCCTTTTCATGTCTGGATTATATGAAGCTAAATTTCTCTTTAAAGGGGAATGCTTTGAAAAGGCAATATACTAGTATAGGCCATCTTTGTAAATTAATCATGTTTATGATGGTGGAAACAAGAACAGTTCTTTGAAGATGAAAATAAAGGTTTTTGGGTTTTTTTGTTAAAATAAAAACACTGCAGTGCAAGTTTTCATCTTCCTTTAAGAAACTTACAACTTATTCGTGATGTTTGATTTTGTCTTAGAATCTATCACCCTTCTTGCCACATATCTAAAGGCCTTCTGATTCCTTCTTTCCCACTGCACTTGGGATATTTTGCTTAACTTACTCTGGAAATCCCCAAAATCTCTGGATGTGGTAACCCCAATTCCTATTTTTATGTCCCCTACTTTCAATGACTTTTTAGAGTCACAATGCATTGACCTTGTCTCTACTGACCTGAAAGTCTGATCACCTCTAATCCTGTGAGCTACACCTAGACCCAGTGCCTCCTACTCATGGTGATCCTGTGATTCTCTATCCTGCTGACTCCATTCCTCCTACCACACTGCTTTTGAGAGCTTCTCCCTCAGTGACCCCAACCCAAAGATATTGTAATCACCTTAATCTCGATCCCTCCTTGATGGCAAGACACTCAGTTCCTACCTACTCTTTTATATGTTTCAATTTATTTCGTGCCAGTTTTTTTTAATCTCTTCAGCACAGCAGCACAGCCTCTGAATCTCGTGTGTGTGTGTGTGTGTGTGTGTGTGTGTGTGTGTGTGTGTGTGTGTGTATGTGTGTGTAAAAGACATTTAGGTACAAATCGGAGGTGGAAGGCAGAGTGGAATGGGAGCCAAGTGGTCACATTTTGGGCCTCTTCTTTCTCTCTTTGCCCTCCTGGGTCTAGACTGTAACCTCCTCCTGGAGGTGCACCTTTGCTGGGACCACTTTTGACTGCAGCTGAAGGAGCTGCCCACAGACTTAGTATTTACCTTCAATAGGTGCTTCTAGTTCTTTTGGATCTCCTCAGGGTTCAGTTTGAGAACATTGACAATCTGTGTGCATCCTGGTGGCTGTCTGGAGAGGTTAGAGGGGTCAGGCATGTCCCAGAGCGTTAGCTGCTGCCAGCTGGCTGCTAACATTGGCTTCAGGATTCTACAAAGGCCCTGCTCACCACTTTGTGCCCCCATCACAGTGGTCTGGTCCAGGTATATGACTGATTCTCAGAGGGAAATCCTCGATGGCAGCGCCACACAGCATTTTTTTCCCTAAAGACCACATGGTTCCACGCACAACAGAGGCAAGGTTGGCATCTCCTGAAGTGTGTGTGTGACCAGAGGTTTTGAGAGGTGATGGGTGGAAACCCAGGAATGAATTGGAGACATATGGCGACCACTCTATCTCAGAGACACAGGCTCTGGCCTAAATTTGATTTAATGATCTCACTGCTTAAATGTCTGGGGAATTTATCAAAGGTGATTTTTATTTATAGACAACAATTTTAGATTGAAAATCAAAGTCAATATATGACACATGATACCTCTTAAAGGCCATTCTAGATTCATTAAACAAATAACAAAAGCATTCAGCAAATGTTAATTGAACATTGCAGTTTTTAGGCATGCTATCATGTGAGAGCCATGGACCATGCTATGCAAGGGGTTCTGTTTCTGTCACCATTTCAATATGATCATATGAGGAGGTTCTTCAGACTCTTACTGACACTATTTTCCAGAGAACAAAAGGGAAACTATACTGTTCTAGGACACCTGTTTCCTTTGTAATTTTTCTGTTCAAGGATTTCTTTTGGAGACATGGGTCATTTGACCTCAAACTGAGAATATGCTTAAGGTTCTTTGGGAATTCAAAGTAGAATCAGCTTTATCTCCCAGCTTTGAAGATGCAAGTTTTTGACTGCTGTTCATTGTTTACTGGCTATGGAGGGATAGAGAGTGTACCTGTAAAGGGAAGACATGGGTCCTCTTATGTCCAACATGAAGACATTTTCTTTGTATCAAGCTTACTTTAAGTCATTAGCTTTGAGAACCTAGCATAAGTCATTGTTTCAGAAGGTGCAGGTTTGCATAATGGTGATTTCTTTCTCCTCTAAGATTCTTGGTCACCATCAGAGGGTTTTTTATTTGTCTTCTGATCATGATCCTATGCCTCACAGTGTGAGAAGTCACAAAGATGCCTATTTTGGAGATAAGCATTTCCTTACATTTTAGTATATTAAAGAATATCTTATTGAAATACTCAGAATCTAAAAACTATATATTCTTTGCTATCTTATTCTTAAAGGAATCGTTTTTAAAATTATTAATAGAATAATGAAATCTGACCCTTATTGACAGCCTTGATTAAAGTGGCCCCTCTCACCTGCTCATAAACATTGTTCCAAAAGCCAGGTCTTCTTAAGCTTTTACAAATACCAGGCTTTGAATAGCTAAGCTCTTATGATCTTAATTTTTTTTAAATTGTTTTATTGCTTAAATTATTACAAAGAGTATTACATATGTCTCCTTTTTTCCCCCGCCCTTGACAATCCCCTGGCCTCCCCTACCACCCAGTGTCTTATGTCCATTGGTTATGCTTATATGCATGCATACAAGTCCTTCGGTTGATCTCTT